AAATAATTAATCTTTTTGTATTTTAAAAAATTTTTCTTTAAGAAATCTTTTAGAATATATTTTAATAAAATAAAATATCAAATAAATCATTTTTAATAATATATACTATTATAAAATTGAATTTCTTTTTCATAGGGTCGAATTTCAAAGCAAATTTTACTCTGGACTAGGATATGGTTTCCAACCATTTTCATTTGAAATTATTTTAGATGCAGCACAATCCACTGCAGAAGATTAAAGTATTTATAATACAACGTTCCATTTATTATCAGTGAAATTCTTGTTCTCCATAAGTATAAAATACATAAAATTAATAATATTGTTATAATATTAATAGTAATGTTATAATATTAATTGTTTTTTACTAATCATAAATTAATACTATGTTCAAATAAATTAATTTTCATTTTTATTTACAAAACAAAAATAATTATAATTCAAAAAATAAAAAATATAATATTTTCATTTTATAATTATATTTAAAAATTTATTCAATATATTTATTATAAAAATATTTTAAATAGTATAATTTTTAAATAAAATTTGATTATCCAAAATGCTTATGGAGAATTTGTAAAAAAAAATAAAAATTGTAAATTATAAGTGGATCTGAAATATGTAGTAAAAACAACTGTATGTGCATGACATGTATTTAGTTATAATTATATATATACATGTTATAAATGTTAACTTATATCATTTTATTATTACATTCCTATCCATTATGTAATAAACAAATAAATAATATAACTTGTATTAATTTATTGAAATGAGTTTTCTTATATATATATATATATATATATCATAAATCATTATTTACGTAAAATTTATCTATTTGTTTACCACAAATTGATAAAAATATTGATAACCTGATACATTCAAGTATATTGCAAGTTGAATATAATATAATTTTAAATTTTTCACGAATACTTCAAAAAAATCTAAAACAATATTTAAAAGTATACCTGATATTTTTAAATTAAATAAATTCGAAGATTTGTAAATAAGCATATATCTAAGTATTATTTTAAACAAGGAGATATCTTTAAATCTAATCAAATTTGATTTCAAATAAATTTAAATTTTTTATTAAAATTATTTATTATGTAATGTATCATTTTAAAGCAAAAACAATCAGTCTACACAACATTAATTCAACTATTTTATTATTTGTAATATTTATAAAATAGCATTAAAAAATTATATCAGATCTATAATAATAAATATATGATGATTTTATGTCAAAATTGTTGGTTAATTATATAATCTTAAAAAATAATATTAAATATTTTTAAAAATTTAAAGAAAGAAATTGATTTGTATTTAAAGCATTTATATTGATAAATAGTAACATTAAATAGATATTTTTATAGAAGTAAATATTTACTTACATCATTTTTTTTTTTAAAGTTTTTAATATTTGAAACATTAGATAATATTCCGCGTTAAATATATTTTCTGTAAAATTTATATATATTAATATTCATTTCACAGTAGTAATATCAAAAAACAAATTATTATTATTTAATTATAGTAAAAATAGATAAAAAGTTTAAATAAAAAGAAAAATAAATAATATCTATTATCTTATTTGTATAAAAATATTTTTTTTTTATTTACGGATTATTTCATATTATGAATATTTCTTTGTATCTTAATAAATAAAATTGTTCTTATCTAATTACGTAATCTCCATAAAGTAAAAATTCGAAGATAAAAATATGTTTTTATTATATTTGATGTTCATTTGTCGATTATATTTTCGTTTACAATAATAAGAAGGTAAAATTCAAAGACTAATATTTTTTTTTTATCATGTTCGATTTTCATTGGTCGATCATTATACTTTTGCTTACAACAATAACTAGATGCCTATCATTGATGTTTCCATACTCCCACTTCTATATAAAATAACGCAAGTCTTTTACGTTCGAAGTTGTCCAGTCGTCCTCCTGCTTTGACAGTGTGTGGTTATTGTTCGTTGTTTTGCAATCATTTTCATTTTACTCTTTTATAATTTTATTATTATACTAATATAAATCAAATTATGGCAGAAAAACTACGTATTTGTATTGTTGGATCAGGAAATTGGTAAGTTTTCTTTAAATTTTAATAATATTAATATCTCTAGTAGCGAAATACTATCATTGATTAGACGCATTTAAATGTTTTCTATTATAATAATTAATTTCCACGTATTTTATACAAAGATTTATTGGAATATCATAATTATAATTATTAATTAAATCTATTCCATTTTTGATATTGATATATATATATATATAATATATATATANAAAATATGAAAAAATATGAAATATTATAGAAATAAATATCTAAATTAATAATTAAATAATATTATTAATAAGAAAAATAGCATAATGTTAAATAAAATATATTATTTATATAATTTTAGTTTGGATTTCATATAATAAAATTGTTCCGAAAAAATGAATATTTAATATAATTTTGTTTATTATTTAATAAATTAATAATAATGCATTTATATTTAATATACTCGACATAAAGTAGAAAAATATTGATAGAAATAATTTGAAAAATATTTCATTGAGAAAATTATATATAATTATATATAGACATATGTAAGAATATATTATATAGAAATATTATATAATTTTATTTTCTTATAATTTTTAGGGGTTCGACTATCGCTAAGATAATTGGAGTAAATGCTGTTAATTTTAGTAACTTCGAAGATCGCGTTACAATGTATGTTTATGAAGAAATAATCAATGGAAAAAAACTAACAGAAATTATTAATGAGACACATGAAAATGTAAAGTATCTTCCAGGACATAAGCTTCCGCCCAATGTAGTAAGTAGATATATGTATATTGTATATATTATGTGTTCCTTCAAAATAAAAAGATTTTTTATGATAAAATCAAATTAATAATAATATTACATATATCTTATCATTTATTATATTTATGTCGAGTATATATATGTGTATATTCAAAAATACTTATAATTTTTCTATTATCATATTTTCGAATATTATAAATATTATATGAAATAATAAGATTAAATTTAATTATTAAATGATATTATGTTTAGCTATTTAATAAATTATAAGTGTATATATAAAAAAATTAATATCAAATTTTAAGTTTCTTTCTCTTTCGCTTTCTTTCTATATATATATATAAATTTCGTAACATAAATAATATAAAATTTTCAAAAATAATATTTTGTTAAATATAATAAATTTATTTATTCCACATGAATACATCTAAAACATATAATTTAAACATATAATAAAACATATAACTTACATTTATATGATTTTATTACTTACTATTCTTACTATTGAATGTATTATTCTAAAAACAAATTAAATTTACATAATTTTAGTAACTTGAAATATACAAATTTATATATGTATCTTATATGTTCAACTTTTTATATAAAAAAAATTAATACTCATCAATTAATTATCAATTTATAATAAATTATATTATTTAATTTACAAATAAATTAATTAGTTTTTTATTCATTAAAAAAGTTTTATTAATTATTTTTAATAATTCTATAA